TTCATGAAACTAGGAGGAAAGAAAGTAAGAAAATAAAGAGAAGAAAAAGGAAGAGACAGGTTGAGAGGTTGTTCTTGGAGTCATCCTTAGTCTTCAGTCACCGAGTTCACCATTAAGTAATGAAAGATATACTAATTTCTTGGCCCAGGGTTCCCATGTATTTTCAAAGTATTTAATCTTATCAAGGAATACACTGACCACTTTTTTCTTGGAACATTATCCAGGTAAATTTTTGTTTTGTGGCTTTAAGAGAAACAATGGGTTGCTTCCAAGAGTGAGCAATAGTCAAATTTAGCCCCAAGGAGAATGAATACAAGTGCTGCCACCACCATCAGATATACCCTTCACCTTAAAAGTAGGCACCTTACATATTATGTATGTCAAATGCGCTTTTTGTCCTTTGCCAGACAAATGATGAACTTCCAGACTCCTCAGATGATTTGCCTTTCAGTTGTAGTATTCCTCTTAATTTTATGGTACTTTAACCCTTTAAAGCAACCTTCTCCTCTCCACATAGAAAAATAAACTCAGGATAGTGTTTTATCGTTTTAAGCTTATAATCCTTAAAAACCGACAGAACACTACTATTTAAATGGCAAGAAAAATATTATTGGATCCTTTTTGCTATAACATAGTAACCTTCACCATCATTTATATTTTCTGCAAACTTTTTATGTACTCTCACCTGGCATTAATGACCAAGCTATTTAACTGCATGGTCAATATGAGCCTGTGTCCCCTTTAATTGGACATGTATAACCATCAGGATTCGGTTCTCCAATTAATTTCCTAGTTCTTCTTAGTAGGCAGATATCAACCAAAGTGCTATTTTATATGTTAGGTCGCTTTTTCACTTTAAAAATGCTACTTGTCTCCTCCACTTGGCCGCATACAAAAAAAAAACTTTAGATAGTGTTTTTATACCTTTGCACAATCTTAATCAAAATACCCCTCTCTTTTAAAAATACCATTCACATTACACATGTGCATACAAAGCAGCACATATAACCGCATGAGCACAGTTAAACGTAGTTCACAGCTTATACTAGTAAGACCAGGTCCTCCAAGCGTGATGACGTCATCCAATGTAGGCCCACCCCAATGCATTTGGTCGCTAGTCACATGACTTTCTTATGAGGTTGTCACAAGTTAGCCTGCAGTTTCTTGTTTGTGTATTCTTACTTCCTTGCTCCAGTGCTGTTCCTGATCCCTTCACATGTGTGTTTGTCTGTGCTCACCAATGGGCATTGTCTGCTGTTTCTCTTGGGTTTTTAATTTCCTTCCATTTCATCACTTTCTGGCCCGCCTCCTTGTTTGCCTGCCTATATAAGACATGCTCAGTCTAGGCCACTTTGCCTGAGCAACTTCCTAGTTGTCTGAGCTCCTGTGTGTTTGCTATACATCCTGAATCCTGCATTGACTACTTTGTACCGACCCTGGCTTTGTTCTCTGACTGTGCTTGTTTTTCACCTGTCCTGACCTCAGCTAGTCTAGCAGCTTTCCGTTTGTCTCCTCCCATTGTACTCTGCTCCTGCGAGCGGTCCTCCTCATCCTCAGCTGGTCGTACCCTGGGGGCCGCGACCTGGTCCCAGCTTGCTGCAAGTCCATCCGCACCATCAGGGGCTCTAGAGGTGTAGAAGCAGGCTGGGGCTTAGACTTCCGCGCCCTGGGGAACTCCAAGTTGACAATCTACAAGGGCTTCACTACCACAGGTACTGACAGGGGTTATGATTGGGTGAGATCCATTAGTCTATCTTCATAATAGTCCTCCAAGACCACAAGCCATCTTCCTTAGTCAAATAACATTATAACAAGCAGCATTTATAGGCTAAACAATCAACCAGGTTCATCAATAAGTTTAAAGAAATTGAGAATTCCCAATCCCATCTTATTGATGACTGTATCACTTTTGCTTATAACCTTACCTGATTAAAAAAATACACATAGAAATGACAGGATTAATAGCATGATCCCAATATGCTTCCCCAGATTCCTACCAACAAGATGATTAAAAAACCTCTTAACCTACTTTAGATTAGAAAAGTAAAGACAATTAATCAAAGCAGTGAGATTATTAGGTGAACAAATCATGTTTTTTGGAGATAGAATGATTTCATTATCATGAATTTTTTATACTATTAAGAAAACTTTACATCTAAAAAAGCTGAAATAGCACTAGAAAACCTAAAAAAAACATTAACTGCCTGTGCTGTGGTATGCTGTAACAGAACAGGAAGAAGTCACCATGTTCTACATCATACTCTACATAGGGGACTACATGTCAGTGTCCAATAGCGTGAGAAGGTTCTCTAGTATTACTAGATTAAAAAATCGGGAGAGATAGAGTCACCTATCCAATGGATGCATGTGCACATGTAGTCCCCTTTGTAGAGTATGACTGGCACATCTCCATTCCCAAAAACTTGGGAAGTCCACCTATCACCCTGGTAGTACTGTGATATGGTTACTCTTGGAGGCTAGTGGGGGCGGCGTTCTTCCCTCTTTTCTTTCCTTTTTTTCCACTCTTCTGGGAGGATTTGGGAGACATTGGCTATATTTATGATTTTTGGTTTTAATAACTGGGGATTTTTCCATTTTTTTGCTCCAATGCCGGGCTATGTATCATGCTCTATTTGGGCACTTCTGAAGAAGAGATTGTTTGTTGTCTCGAAATGCGTCTCCCCTACCTGTGCATTCATAGTAACAGATATGTATTGTATAACCATTACATTTTGTATGTCTATGTGAATTTTAACATTTTGTGTAAAATAAAATATGGTTCTACAAAAGTTTTTACAAATTTAATGGCTCTATTTGCTTTGTTTGTGCCTTAAAAATTCCACAAAAAAGAGGGTTTTCCATGGATGTTTTAATGAGGGATGATGTCACCCCTTGTCACTATACCCGCTGTTTTTCCAACCCATAGAAAAGTCCATTTGCATTGAGCTCTAAGAGTTTAGTTCACACCACTATGCTATGGTGAGTAAAGATTAAAGTAGTACTTAAGTCAACAAAAAAGACATTTAAAAAAAAGTAGAACTAAAGTCAAAACAGTTTTCATTTTGGATGGAGTGAGGGTAATAATAATAATAATCTCTTCAAAGCGAAGGAATCCATGGTTGTTACCAGGGTAGCCGGAAGTATTGTCACCAGTGAAAGATTTTCCCTCTATTGCTGCTCTGATGACAAACCAAAATTTGGAATTTTCTTTCACTTTCATTCTCAACGATAATGGTAAACATGATAAACAGAGAGGTGAATCTCTTTAACAGGAACACAGACAACAATAAACCTGTCAAGTGTTCCAATCCCTCTTCACTCTATAAAAAAAAAAAAAATAATAGAGTTTTGCCCTCAGTTTTTTATGAAATTTTGTGACATTTCCATAAAATTGAAACAGAAATTAAACAGCTTGATGCATCATTTATGCATTGGCACTGCTCCCTTCACAGCGAACACCAGCGGCAGCTGTACATGAATGAACCCTAAAGGAGTTGAGAATCTTCACATGACATATTGATTGAAGGTTCACTTCAATGATCAAATCATGTAACAAGCAAATCCTGGTTCATATTGAATACTCAGTCATCATGTGCAATTGAAATCAGTTATCCAGTAATGTGAAAAGCACATTGTGTTTACTTAACTTATTATACTGTGTGAGAATTCTCAGCTCTATTAATAAATCAGCCTCCATGGCTGTGAGGACCTGCAGGGTAGACTACTTAATATATGTAGTGCTATCCCCCAGGAGCCGCTGTAGTTAACAGGTTCTTTCCCTCCACAGTGCAGAAGCAGACAGGCACACAACACAGCAAGAGTTCACTCACTCCGGTTCAGTGACAAGTCAAGAGGATGTCTTTTCTTGATTCATTGCTAAAAACCTGAAACTGGAGAGGACAAAGGGGTATGGGATACCCCAAAACAGCAGAGGACACTTTCTCCAGGTGATAACAGCACAGTCTTTAACTCCCAGCTGTGGACCAGGAGAATATTAGGCACAGAATTACAAGCCACTTAAAGCAACCAGTTGATATGTGAAGATATGCTCAGAAGTCTTTGGGTTTGATTTAGTAAAACTGGAGAGTGCAAAATGTGGTGCAGCAGTGCATGGTAGCCAGTCAGCTTCTAAATTCAGCTTGTTCAATTAAACTTTGACAAAACAAAAACTAGAAGCTGATTGCTTTCTATGCAGAGCTGCACCAGAGTTTGCACTATCCAGTTTTAGTAAATCAACCCCTTTGCCCTGCACCTCTAGTGAAAGAGATGAGTGCTCTTAAAGTGAATGTAAACATCTGAAATGAAAAACGAACAAAGTATATCCTTCTATAGTGTGCACTTGCCACAATCCAAAGCACATGGTTCCTCTCTGATCTCTCCTCTCTGTTATCTCATTTCTGATAGTTTAACTCAGCACCAAGCCATCCTGAGAGTTGCCCCCGCCCTGCAGCACACAGCAGGTGATTGACATCTCAGCTGTGCATTTTTTCCTATGATACTGTGTAGAAGGTGTGTGTTTGTCGTTTCCCTCCAGTCAGGTCTCAGATTACACTCATCCTCCTGCCCTGTGATGTGCAGTATATGACATCGGATCCCTGCCCCTGCCTGCTAGAGCTGAGAAGAAGCCTTCAACTGTGTGTTTTAAAAGGCTATAGAGGACAGAGAGCTGCAGGTAAACAGGTACAACTAGAGATGAGCGAAGTATTCAAAAATTCGATTCGGCTGATTCGGCGAATTCGCAGAATAAATTCGATTCGAGTCGAATATATTTGCTGCGAATTTAACTTATAAAAAGGGTGTTTCTAGGCTTCAGAGAGCCTTTATATTAGTGCAGAACACTGTACCTTTAATTTAAATGCCCTTGGAGTCTGCTGGGGAAGAGAAATAATACTGTCAGTCAGTATGACATGCAGATGAGTGCCGTCGATCTTAGAATCACCGCACACTTCACTCATTTGGGCAGTCATCGGGCCAAAACCAGAGTGTGGAGCCACAGTGTGGCGGTGGAGGCAGCAGCAATGGGAGGCCATACAGCACCCTATGACAAAATGGAACCCACCAGCAGTGTGAGGAGACCTGAAAGTGGCACATGGCAGAGTGTGGCGATGAGGACAGCAGCAATGGGAGGCCGTACAGGGACCCATGACACACTGAGGACCTGGCAGCAGCATGAGGAGGCGGTACGGGGGCCCATGGCAGATTACGGCCTGGCAGCAGCAATGGGAGGCCCGTAATCTGCCAGCACCACTATGACAAAATGGAAACCCACCAGCAGTGTGAGGAGACCTGAAAGTGGCACATGGCAGAGTGTGGCGATGGAGACAGCAGCAATGGGAGGCCGTACAGGGACCCATGAGACACTACACTGGACCTGGCAGCAGCATGAGGAGGCGGTACGGGGGGCCCATGGCAGATTACGGGCCTGGCAGCAGCAATGGGAGGCCCGTAATCTGCCAGCACCCTATGACAAAATGGAACCCACCAGCAGTGTGAGAGACCTGAAAAGTGCACATGGCAGAGTGTGGCAATAGGAGACAGCAGCAATGGGAGACAGTGGCCGTACAGGGACCCATGAGACACTCTGGACCTGGCAGCAGCATGAGGAGGCGGTACAGGGGCCCATGGCAACAGATTACGGGCCTGGCAGCAGCAATGGGAGGCCCGTAATCTGCCAGCACCCTATGACAAAATGGAAGGCCCACCAGCAGTGTGAGGAGACCTGAAAGTGGCACATGGCAGAGTGTGGCGATGAGACAGCAGCAATGGGAGGCCGTACAGGGACCCATGAGACACTCTGGACCTGGCAGCAGCATGAGGAGGCGGTACTGGGGCCCATGGCAGATTACGGGCCTGGCAGCAGCAATGGGAGGCCCGTAATCTGCCAGCACCCTATGACAAAATGGAACCCACCAGCAGTGTGAGGAGACCTGAAAGTGGCACATGGCAGAGTGTGGCGATGGAGACAGCAGCAATGGGAGGCCGTACAGGGACCCATGACACACTCTGGACCTGGCAGCAGCATGAGGAGGCGGTACAGGGGCCCATGGCAGATTACGGGCCTGGCAGCAGCAATGGGAGGCCCGTAATCTGCCAGCACCCTATGACAAAATGGAACCCACCAGCAGTGTGAGGAGACCTGAAAGTGGCACATGGCAGAGTAGGCCCGTAAGTGTGGCGATAGAGACAGCAGCAATGGGAGGCCGTACAGGGACCCATGACACACTCTGGACCTGGCAGCAGCATGAGGAGGCGGTACAGGGGCCCATGACAGATTACGGCCTGGCAGCAGCAATGGGAGGCCCGTAATCTGCCAGCACCCTATGACAAAATGGAACCCACCAGCAGTGTGAGGAGACCTGAAAGTGGCACATGGCAGAGTGTGGCGATGGAGACAGCAGCAATGGGAGGCCGTACAGGGACCCATGAGACACTCTGGACCTGGCAGCAGCAGGGGCCCGATGAGGAGGCCCAGGTACAGGGGCCCTATGACAGATTACGGGCCTGTGGAGCAGCAGCAATGGGAGTCGGTGACAAACGGGGGCCCATGGCAGATTACGGGCCTGGCAGATGACGACAAAAGGCTGCCAAGTGCGATCAGCCTCATCATCATCAATTAGGGTCTCCGCCTCACTACTAGCCCCCTCGGCTGCGTGTGGGTCAGGAGACAGACCTGTCTCTAGACTGGCTACCGAGCCACTCTCCTCGCCAGTACTTCTTCGCCTGGCTGCTAAAAGAGGCGGATGTCTCCCCCCGTTCCTGACCGCCCTCTGTTAGCTCTTCCTCACTGTACAGTGGGGCTGAGCCCACAGCATGCGATACTTCGCTTGGTGAGGGAACACCAAAGGACAGGGGCATGGTACGTAGAGGACACGTGATTTTCAGTGGGCTTGCTCCCGGGCCATGCCAACTAACGGTTGTGTCTGACGTACCCACCGACCATTGGCTGTAGGTGTCAGAGGTGACCTGGGAAGAGGAAGACGACCGAGCCAACCAATCGATGACGGCAGGGTTGTCGGTGGAGACACGAGCCCGCTGGATGACACCGGGAGCACTGGCCTCTGGCTGCGACTAGTGCTGCCTCGACCCCTTCCTCTGCTGCTGAGTAACGTCTGCTCGCTCCTGAAACATTGCCTCCTCTGCCACTCCTCTGCGTGTTGTCTGACATACTCTTTAATTCAACGATTCTGTGTCCCTGAGTAACAATTCTGTGTCCCTGAGTAACAATTCTGTGTCCCTCAGTAACGATTCTGTGTCCCTCAGTAACAATTCTGTGTCCCCTGAGTAACAATTCTGTGTCCCTGAGTAACAATTCTGTGTCCCTCAGTAACGATTCTGTGTCCCTCAGTAACAATTCTGTGTCCCTGAGTAACAATTCTGTGTCCCTGAGTAACAATTCTGTGTCCCTGAGTAACAATTCTGTGTCCCTGAGTAACAATTCTGTGTCCCTGAGTAACAATTCTGTGTCTGTCCCTGAGTAACAATTCTGTGTCCCTGAGTAACAATTCTGTGTCCCTCAGTAACATTTCTGTGTCCCTGAGTAACAATTCTGTGTCCCTGAGTAACAATTCTGTGTCTGTCCCTGAGTAACAATTCTGTGTCCCTCAGTAACAATTCTGTGTCCCTGAGTAACAATTCTGTGTCCCTGAGTAACAATTCTGTGTCTGTCCCTGAGTAACAATTCTGTGGTCCTGAGTAACAATTCTGTGTCCCTGAGTAACAATTCTGTGTCCCCTGAGTAACAATTCTGTGTCCCTGAGTAACCGTCCCTGAGTAACAATTCTGTGTCCCTGAGTAACAATTCTGTGTCTGTCCCTGAGTAACAATTCTGTGTCCCTGAGTAACAATTCTGTGTGTAACAATTCTGTGTCCCTGAGTAACAATTCTGTGTCCCTGAGTAACAATTCTGTGTCCCTCAGTAACAATTCTGTGTCCCTGAGTAACAATTCTGTGTCCCTGAGTAACAATTCTGTGTCCCTCAGTAACAATTCTGTGTCTGTCCCTGAGTAACAATTCTGTGTCCCTGAGTAACAATTCTGTGTCCCTCAGTAACAATTCTGTGTCCCTCAGTAACAATTCTGTGTCTGTCCCTGAGTAACAATTCTGTGTCCCTGAGTAACAATTCTGTGTCCCTGAGTAACAATTCTGTGTCCCTCAGTAACAATTCTGTGTCCCTCAGTAACAATTCTGTGTCCCTCAGTAACAATTCTGTGTCCCTCAGTAACAATTCTGTGTCTGTCCCTGAGTAACAATTCTGTGTCTGTCCCTGAGTAACAATTCTGTGTCCCTGAGTAACAATTCTGTGTCCCTCAGTAACAATTCTGTGTCCCTCAGTAACAATTCTGTGTGTCCCTGAGTAACAATTCTGTGTCCCTGAGTAACAATTCTGTGTCCCTGAGTAACGATTCTGTGTCCCTAAGTAACGATTCTGTGTCCCTAAGTAACGATTCTGTGGCCCTAAAGTCTCTCTGGCCCTAACTCTGTCCCTAATACAGACAGGTCTGTCTCTCTTGAATGACCGGAGGCTAATGGAGAATTGTAAGATGGCCGCAATTTATAGCTCCACCATTACACAGTGCTGGCTGGCTGGCTGCTGATTGGCTAATGCGATCACATGTCATGAATGAATGCATTATGGGTCAGCGCGCCTTGTCTGCGCGCCTTCCCAGAGATCCCCGCTCCGTCGCCACACATGTCGCCGCCATTTTTGGGAAAATTCGATTCGTGCATCCGAAGTTGGCTAATTTTCGGATTCGGCGCGAATCGAATATTTCCCAATATTCGAAACGAATTCCACTTCGCCATGTTCGATTCGCTCATCTCTAGGTACAACATATAGGAGGATTTGATTCATCTCTGCGTATAGTCATTTCAGAGATGTAATTTCAGTGGATATATGTAGGGGTTTGCAACCACTTTAAACTGTAAAATATCAAAGCACAAGAAAAGAGAACACTGGCATAGTGTAGCAAACCCTCTTTAATCGAAAGGAATAAAAGTAATACACTCGCAAATTTAAATCATTGCTAGAAGGCATGACAGGGATGATGTCTGATAACTAGGACCTGTTTGCAGATAACGCTGGTTACTGGATGTCAGACATCACCTCTGTTTTGACCTGTATGCTTTCTATGCAAGGATTTTAATTTGTGAGTACATTACCTTTAATCCATTCAGTTAAAGAAGGTTTGCTGTACTATGTTAGTATGCTCTTGTCTTGTGCATTGATATTTTTTCAGTAATGTCTTGAATCTCCTGCTGCTTTTACACAAAGACTGCTTGCCGTAAAAATATTTATAATATGCCGAAACTCAAATGCTAGATAAGTTGGTAGCTGTCTAATGGCTTATCAACTACAAGATGCAGAATGGTTAAACGTATGACTGATACACTAGGTAGCACACTGCGTTGCTGATGGTAATTTGAACCTTTCACCCCTACATTACTAGATGTGTAGATATCTGATCGCATCAGCAGTTCCTTAAGGACTGCTTGGATGTAAAATGCTTTCGTTGCAATAAAATTTCAGTACTGTTTTTGTACAGTTACTGCTGTATAAAAATTAAAGAAGAGTATTTAAAAATAAAGTTTAGTTTTTTTTTGATTGTTTTTTTACCTACTGCTGCACATAACATAGAGGAATGACAGTACCCTCTCCCCCACTCACAAACCATGCTACATTCAGTAAAATTAATTAAAGCACTAGTGTTGTCAGTTTGAATCCAAACCACAGCACTACCTGCCTGGAGTTTTGCATGTTACCCCTGTGCCTGTGTGGGTTTCCTCCGTGTACTCTAGGTTCCTCCCACACTCAAAAGATGTACTGGTAGATTCATTGGCTCCTGTCTAAATTGGCCCTAGTATGTGTATGAATGTGAGTTAGGGACCTTAGATTGTAAGCTTCTTGAAGGCAGGGCTGATGTGAATGTACAATATATATGTAAAGTGCTGCATAAATTGGCAGTGCTATATAAGTACCGGTAATAAATAAATATAATAAAGGACTTTTGCCAGTGGAGGAAAGGGCAGAGGAGGCATGTCATTGGGAACTTCAGAAATGCATTGGTATGTTAGACCTAAAGCTAATAACCTCACGGAGCTGGAAGTTCAGAGCTGTGAAGAGGATTGGGCGTCATATGACAGGTTTTCTTCAGGAACCATCAGCCTACAATATGTGGGACTTCATTACAGCTAAGTTATGTGACTGTAGCAGTAGGTAAAACAAAACTGTAACTAAACTTTAAGTTTTAAAGTCATACTCAAGGCAAAAATGAAATTTAAACAATGTATCTATTACCTTACTCTGCCATGATTCTTCCTAAGCCATCCTGCAGTGTAATGGATCAAAGCCATAGGGGTAGATTTACTAAAACTGGAGAGTGCAAAATCTGGTGCAGTTCCGCATAAAAAACCAATCTACTTCCAGGTTATTTTGTCAAAGCTTAATTGAACAAGTTGAAGTTAGAAGCTGATTGGCTACCATGCACAGCTGCACCAGATTTTGCACTCTCCAGTTTTAGTAATTCAACCCCTTAGTTTCCTTTATTAGTCAAGCTAATTTCCTGCCCTGGGAAGCAGACATTTTTCTCTGTTCGTTATCTTCTTTAGCACTGGTCCTTTCAGTCA